GCATTTCATGACATGTATTATTTGACTTTGGACCAAATATGTGGCCTGAATACTTTGTTTAATTTTCTCTTACTTGTATTACTACTAGCACCATGTAGCAATATGATAATGCCCACGTGTAGCGCAACCAAGTAAGATTGGTTTTTTATGATGCAACACGTTTTATCATTCATCTTGCATGATTTTGGTTTTTTGGTGTGTAACATGAACACATTTTTTAATTAAGTTTTGCCCTGCTCGTATTACTATTAACACCGTGTGGCATTAAGATAATGCCCGCATGCAGCATAACCAAGTGAGGGAATATATTTTTATGCTCTTGTTTGTATTGCAACTACTGTGACACATAATGCCCGCAGCGCAACCAAACAAGAGATTATCATGAGTTCAGTTTAGTGCCTCCGTAATTTCATTCCAACTTAGCCCTATCCATTTTTTTATGATGACCAAATTAAGGCAATTTTTTATGAGGTTTTCGCACCTATGACACTCTCTTGGTTTGTATCAACGTATAGAGACCAAAACCAAGGAACGAGGCGTTCATCTTGGCTTGTATAGCTAAAGGGACCGAACCAAGACGGAGATCAATGGGACGAAGTGCACGCCACATTTAAAGGAACCGTGCTTACAAGAACCATGCACGCTCCTTGACTCGTACCTCGATGGCCAAGCCAAAGGCGAAAGTTTGGAGTAGATATAACATGCTCCTTAGTTTGTACCGCGATGGCCGAACCAAGGACAAAATCTTGAGATGGATGCAACATACTCTTTAGTCTATGCCAAAATGGCCAAATCAAAGGCAAAATTTTGAGAGAGATTAAACATACACCTTAGTCTGTACCGCAACGGCCAGACTAAGGCAAGAATTTTGAGGAGATGAAATATGCTCCTTGATTTGTACCGTGATGGCCGAACCAAGAACAAGAATTTTCGGAAGATGAAACATGCCCCTTGATTTATACCGTGATGGCCGGATCAAGGGCTAGAGATTCAGGAGAAGAAGAAGAAAAAAGCCCCCTGGCCTGTATCACAAAGACCAAAACAAAGGCTAGAGGAGAGCCATTGAATCTCACCTTTCAAACCTCCTGCACGCCTGCCTCCTTCGCTACTGTGTGTGTATGATTTTTGACAGAGGAAATGAACGAACTCCGGGCCGACCCTAGAGCAGTCTGACTGCCTGATATATATAGAGGCAGGTGTGTAGCACTGACCCTTGGAGGCTGCCGCACGCGCCAAGGACTCAATCTGCACGTCTTGCAGAACGTGGGAGCAGGAGCGTGGCTTGCTGGTAGAACGTAGGCAGGAAATAGAGTGCTCGAGACTTGGTCTCACTGAGTTGTTGATTGATGGGACATCGGCTGGAGCGCACATGGCCTTGGCCCAATTAGTTTAATCAATTTGCTTAATTAAACACTACTTAAGGTGGGCTCTGCTACAAGACACGTTTGGGCTTCTTACTTTGATTATTTAATCGGAGCAGCTTTTGCATATGCATGGTAACTGTGTTGATTTGCTAAAAAGATTATTATTGGTTGTGAGAGCCACGCCACATACGTTCATGCATGTACGCTGCCTAGCCCTGCATGCATTAGCACATAACGCATGCTCGTGCTAGCTAAAGATTTAATTGATGCTAAATTTTTTTAGTCACCAATTATATTGTCTATGCATTCTGTTAATATGCCGTGATATTTCGATGGCCAACGCCGACGGCGCGGCGCCTGTGGGTGTTGTTCCTCCTTCCCACAGGGTCGTCATGGTACTCTCCGGCCTTGTCCGTCTTCGAGGTTTGCTTTGGGTGAAAGCCTTTTGCGCTGCTGTAGCAGGGTCGGCTGATGGCGTCGTTCCCGAGTCGCTTTTCCCTTGTGGTCGTCATCTTGAAGACTAATTTCCCTTCGCGCTTTCCCTAGGGTGGACATGCAAAGTTGGTCGCAGGTAATCCTCCTGATTCCAACGGTCCAGTGCATCAATGGGTGCGCCTATGTTTGTTTCTCGCTACGACAGAGAAGTCGGAGCTGCGCGCGGCGGGGCCCCCGCGACAACGATGATTCCATGACGGCGGTTTCAGCGGACGGTGCTCTCCAGAGATTGCGATGGACTAGGTCGTTGTGAGGCTTGCAACTTTCTCTTGCAATGTACATCAACAAAGTTGGAGCTGCCGGTCGTCGATGTCTTGGTTGATTGAGTTGTTGATTGATTTCTTTAAATTAATTCTTTTCATTATCGAATGTTTTATTTTTGCTGTTTTGAATTTATATTTTATACATTTATTTATCTCGGTCAAAATCCATGTCAACACTCCTCGCCCGCGCCACGTCGATGTGCCCGAGGTCCCGACGCAGCCGCGCGAGCAGTTGTCGGGGAGAGAAGGATGCTGGCGACGCCATGGCTGGGAGAGGGTGGACGGCGACGCCTTAAATGGAAG